TTAAAATTAAGGATACTATTTTATGTATTTTGCCAGAGACCCAAGCCAAAGGTAAATATTTTATTATTGTTATTCATCAATTATTATTATTATTTTATTACGTAGATATTGAGCCTGAACCATTAAGTGACTACAGATTACTCACCTTTTATGAACACACTCCAGCCACAAGAATGTGGACTGTACACTTTGTGGTTACTAAGAACAACACCTCTCACATTGAAGTAAACCTACTATTGTTATTCTTAATTAATGGTGATCACTATTTTGTGTTTGTAGAAAGCAGTATCTGAGATGAGTCCAAGGTCATGTATTAGAGGTGATCCTGAGATTGTGTTTTCATTTGATGATGAGGGACAAATTGTTTTTGATATTAAATCATCATTATTTAATGGATGGGAATTGTTACCATTACAAACACCTTGCAAAGTAAATAGATATCATATCCTATAGAAGAGACACACACCTCCTGTGAATTATAAGTATAATTACATCACATAAGTCAGCTCTTTAATTGTTTTGTGGTCTTTAGTTTAACTTCACACACTCAATCTCAATGATATTCATAGCCTCTCTTTTGGGACTTAATTTTTCCATTTATATAAATAGTCTTGCATACCCTCCCTCTGGCTATGCAGTTAATGTATGATAATACTCCTTACTCTTGGTAATATTATTTATTTATAATTTAGATACGTAAAGCTGATGTTGATTTTCATTGTTCTAATGATGGTGGTCTTAGTAAGGTGTCTTTGCGTGTTGAAAGTCCACCTCATTCCAATAGTTTTACACACAGCATTACTATTACTGGAACAAGAGATCCATCATTGTCTATTGCAATTAGTAAGTTTTTTATTACCATTTCTCTTAGTTTAATACTCACTATAGCATGTTCAGATCCTTCATTGTTGCCTCCTGTAGTAAGAGAAGATGATGGTAAGCTATCATTAAAATAGAACTGTCTTTGATAATCAATAATGTATATTTAGTCCCTCCTCCAGTTAATCCCAGCATTAGAGAGCTAATGGAAGAAGTTGCTGCCAAAGCTCCCAAGGAATGGATAAAAATTGGCACAATGCTTGATATTGATCAACATGTGTTGGATGGTTTCAAATCTCAATATAGTCCTGATTTAATGGAATGTTATCGTGCTGTTTTTAATCACTGGAAAGATACTGTTCCACGTCCTTACACTTGGGCTACTATTGTGAAGGTTTTAGAATCAGGTGTAGTTCAAAGAAATGTTCTTGCAGCAGAAATTAGAAAAAAATATATCTAAGAAAATTTAAACTGTGATGTTTTTAACTATTTTGTTGATATTATAATTTTGTATTTTTAATAATAAAAATAGTGTTTCAATAATTTGCTACTATTGTGCATGTATGTTAGTATGTGCATTCTGTTTGGTATATTATTATTATTATTGTCAAAATTATTCAGTTATTATTTGTCATCACTTGATTCTTGTCTTGATGAGTGTCTCCTCCTAACAGCTAAAGATGGAGGGTGTACCAGCATCACTTCTCTCTTCTTCATCACCCTCTGAAGATGAATCACTCTCCTCCTCTTCTTCTTCTCTTAA